AGATGGGGGCCAATTGTTTATGCGTGTGTTTAACCCCCACGGTACCCCGGAAATCCTGCGACGGCGCACCACAGTAGCCACCGTGCACCCCCTACATGCGCGCCACTCCAACGACTCGGTATTCGCACTCTGGGCTGAGGACCCCGGTCGCCCCGAGGACCACCAGGACCTGGCCTGGCGAGTCGGCTTGACGCGTTACACGTACCTTGGGCGGATTTACCTAGGGGGGAGGCCGATCAGCTACGCGGTTTATTACGGGAGTACGCCGACGTGTTCAGCGAACACGACTCGGACGTGGGTCGGACAGATCTCGTTAAGCACCAAATCGACACCGGTGCCGCCCGACCCATAAAACTCCCCGCGTACCGAGTGGGCGCACCCGAACGCACCCAGATCAAAGAGGCGGTTGGGGACATGCTCCACGATAACATAATTCAGCCCTCGGCGAGCCGCTGGTCGGCCCCGGTGGTACTAGTAACGACAAAGGATGTGTCAACCCGGTTCTGCGTCGATTACCGTAAATTGAACGCAGTCACCCTCGGCGACGCCTTCCCCATACCCCGCATCGACGACACCTTTGACAGCCTCGCCGGAGCGGGATATTTTTCCACCGTCGATCTCGCGTCCGGGTACTGGCAGGTGGAGATGGCGGAGGAGGATCGGCCAAAAACCGCATTCACCACCCCGATGGGACTATCCGAGTTTCAAGTACTCCCGTTTGGACTCACCAACGCGCCCGCGACGTTCCAGCGGCTGATGGAGTTGGTAATGCGGGGCTTGCAAAGGGAACAGTGCCTGATTTACCTGGATGATGTGATAGTGTTCAGTAGATCTCTGTCTGAGCACTGGTCCAGGTTACGGGAGGTGTTCCAGCGACTGCGAGCGGCTCATCTTAAGCTCAGCCGCGTAAGTGTTACATCGCACAGCACGAGGTGGGGTACCTCGGACATCGCGTCAGCGAGGCAGGGGTGCACACCGATCCGGACAAGGTACGCGCCGTAGTGGATTGGCCACGGCCAAGGAACCTGACGGAGATCAGATCATTTTTGGAGCTCGCCACCTATTATCGTCGGTTTGTGAAGGGATTCAGCGAGATTGCACGCCCCCTCACCGGACTCAGTTCCCCTAAGAACCCCTATCAGTGGACGGAAGCCTGTCAGACGGCCTTCACCACCGCCAAAGACTACCTCACCCACGCCCCCACCCTGGCTATCCCCGATTTTACCAACGATTTTATTTTGGACACCGACGCCTGCAGCAGCAGGCTGGGCGCGGTGTTGTCGCAGGTGCAGGAAGGGACGGAAGGTGTTTTTGCGTACGCCAGCCGGACCTTGAGCGGGGCCGAGCTGAACTACTGCGTGACCTGTCAGGAATTGTACGCTGTGATCTTTGCGTGTAAATAGTTCCGACCATATTTGTACGGCCGGAAATGTCGAGTGTGCACAGACCATTATGCTGTGAAGTTCCTCCTCACCTTCAAGGAGCCGCGGGGACAAATGGCCAGGTGGCTGGCGCAGCTGCAGGAATGCAACCTGCAGATCGAGTACCGGGCCGGGCGGACGCATGCATACGCGGACGCCTTATCGAGGCAACCCGTGGTGTGTGCCGAGACGAGGGCGGAGGAGGCCTGCCCATGCTTCACGGGGGGACGTTGCCGACAGGCAATGGACTCCCGGGAACCCGCTGAGCCTGACCCCCCCCCCCCCCCCCCCTGGCGAGAGAGAGTGCGGTATGCGCCACAGAGACCCCCACAGGTGGAGCCGAGGATCCAGCCGACCGCCCGGCAAGTGCGGGACCCACAACTCGGGACCCGACAGACCACCCTGCCCCGATCGGACGGATCCAGGAGGACGTTGGCTGCGCCTTCCTGGGCCTGAACGACGAGCAGCTGAGGCAGACCCAGCAGCGGGATTCGGATCTGGCGGCGGTGGAAGCGGCCCTGCAGGAGGGGAAGAGCACCCTACCAGGGCCCTGGAGCGGTTTGTATGCCCGGTTGTGTGTGCAGAACGGGATGGTACGAGAGTTAACCGAGGCCGGCCAGCCGGGGTGCATCTGTGTTCCCGCCCAGGTGCGACCCCAGCTGCTGCGGCTGGTGCACGACCACTCGCTCGGGGGCCATGACGGGGAACGGCGCACTCGGGAGACCCTGCGTCGCCAGTAACTCTGGCGCAAATTGGCACAAGACGTGGCCGCCTGGGTACAGGGCTGCCGCACTTGTCAGCAGTGCGGGCCGAAACCGGCACGATACCAGGTACCCTTAAGGCCATTCCGCGTCAGTCGGATGAACCAGTTGGTCGGCATCGATCTCCAGGGGCGTTTCCACGATCCCACCGGGGCAACCGCTATATCCTCGTAGCGGTAGAATACTTCACCCGCTTCCCCGTGGCCGTAGCCATCCCCAATAAAACGGCCCTTGTGGTGGCCTGGGCCTTCGTGGAGCATTACGTACTTAAGCATGGGATCCCAGAACGAGTCCTCACCGACCAGGGTAGCGAGTTCGAGGCCGAGCTGTTCCAAGCGCTGTGCCGAGAGTTCGGAATCCAGAAGGATCGAACCACAGCGTACCACCCCCAAGCGAACGGTATGGTGGAGCGCATGAATCAGACCTTACTGGGGAAGCTCAAACGTATGGCGGCCGCAAATCAACGGGATTGGGACGAACACCTCCCCTACGCCCTGTTCGCCTACGCCACCACTGTACACACATCTACGGGACAAACCCCGTTCCTAATGATGTTTAGTCGTGAGTCTCGTTTACCCGCAGACCTGCTGTTCGGCGTTCCCCCACCCTAAACGGAGGAAGGGAGCCGCCCCGTGGAGCACCTGATGGAGACCCTACGAGGGGCCCGGGACCGGGCTTACCCGCGACAGGAGCAGGGCACTCGACCCTGCGTGGAGCCCCCCTCTTCTCGACAGGTGCAAAGGTGTGGCTACACACCCCTTGCGTCGGAGCCGGACAGGTGGGGAAGCTGACGACCTACTGGCGGGGACCCTGGACCGTGGTGCGGCAGATCTCCCCCTGGACGGTATTAATCCAGGGTGGAGAGAGGGGCCGAGAAACGGTGGTCAACGTCCGCCGCTTAAAACGATGGAGGGCAGCCCCGGCGGTGGAGAACCTCACCGCCCGAGTACCGCGAACCCACGGGGCCCCCACACCACCCGGGCTCGAGGACCTCGCGCGCTACATGGGCCCCACCGGACCCCCAGCCCAGAGGCGTCCCGGCCCCGCCAGGGGACCGCGGGGACAGCGGCCCCTAAACCCTTCTGCTGATGAGTTTGTGCCCCAGCCCGCAGGTGACGAGGGACAGGGAGAGCCATTGGAGTGGAGGAGGAGGCCGCCGCAGGAACCCCAGAGGACGGAGCCACCCGCCCCGAGACCAGCCACGAGGTCCGGACTGATCCCCCGAACCCCGCAGCGCTTCCTCATGGGTGCGGCCCAGACGAGGTGCTCCAGTCAACCCGGGACGGGGACTGGCACCTCAGGGGGCTATGTGATGCCGCTGCCGCGAAGCCGCTCGGCGGGTGCCCCATCTACGACCTCGCCACCACCAAGCGACGGGGCCGACCCCGCTTCCCCCTCACCGCCCCCACAAAAACACACCCTAACACATTTTCCCACATAGAGCTCCGAGGGGAGGTCTCCTGGCCGGCAGGTTTTTACCCGAAAGCCCTCATAGAGATAATCTTCACGGTTTCCTGCGGCCAGGGAATTGGGCGACCTCCCCCGATGCTGGTTCGCACCGCGGCGCTGTGACCCGGGTTGAGATTGCATGGTCACGGTGGGGGCTGTCCAGCCACCACGGTGGAAACGCACCCCCTACACACACGTATCGACAAGGCCGGCAGGGGTCCACAGCCACGAACGAAGGGGAAGCCAAGGAGAGGGGGGGACGGCTGATTAGCATGGCAGGTGTGCGCGGGGACCGCCACCGCGCAGCAGCCGCGGCGAGCCTTTGTTACAGACACCGCGGCTGATTGGCATAACAAAGGCGCCCGTGGATCACCGCCAGCGCCGCAATCGGCGGGGAACCCATTGTTAGAGAAACCGGGAATGCGGCTGAATGGGCGTGGCGACCTGATTGGCCGAGAAGGCGCTTGGGTCGGCGTTCTTTGATGTAGGTTGAGGATAAAAAGAGGGCGCAGAGAGGTAGAACGCTCTCTTGCTCCAAAAAGTCAGCGCTCGGGACGGCGTCCAGCTCGGCCACTCGAACGTCCGTGCGACGCGTCGAGGTGAGCGGCAAGGACGAGACCAACGGAACGCCGTGCGCATCTAACCGTGAGTAAGAGGTAAAGGAGTATTGGGATTAGAGATAAAAAAAACAAATCTGCTTAGAGCCTATCGAATTAGATAAATTGGGTACAGACCCTTGGGCGATAGTGTAGGCCTGCCTTGTCGATCCTTACTGACTTAACAGCGAATCGCAGTCAGCCAGCAATAAATCATTAATAACTAATCGTAGCCACGTGTGGTTTCGACGAGAGTGTGAACGCGCGCGGTGCTGTGTGTACGTACGCTCACAGCGTGTGAGTGGCAGGGTGGACGCCAACGTCCACCCTGCCACGAACGAAGCATCGCTCCTCGTCAGAGTGACGACCAGCGAACAACCCGCAGGAAAGGCAGAGATCGCCAAGCGAGCAAAGCAGAGAGTCAAAGTCTTCCGAACGAGCGACAACGAGCGCCACCGAGCGACACCGAGCGACACGAGCGACCGAGCATCTTCAAGGACAGCATCGTGCCAACTCGTCATCTAGCAGTGGAGGGAGAGAGAGCGCACAAGCCGAGCGACACGCCGAGCGAGGGAGCAGCACGACTCGATGCGGCCACGCCCCACCCAGAGAAAACTGGCCGCTGTTTGTATCCTCCCACACCACACAAGCTAACGACACAACTCCCGGCTCTAAGAATTAATTAATATTACAAGGGGACAACGCACACACAGCACGCACACGAATAAGACTTTAAAAAAATGTATCTTTGCGTTTCAAAAAGGGTTGCCATTTCGAGGTGGTGCGTTCAATATCAACTGATCGTGCAAAGCAGTTGCTGCCGTCGAGTTACATGAATAAGAAATGTTTTAGTCATTCATTTTCGTTAACTGCATAATCACGCCAATGAAGAAGTATTTTTAGTCATTCATTTTCGTTAATTGCATAATCGAGTTACATGAATTTATTGACGTATACCTGCTTTCGCATAAGAGAGTGTCATGTGCTTGTTTAGAATTAAAATTGCTTAACACCAACTGTTCGAGTGCTTCTTTCCAAGTCCATGCAAAACTGTCTTATTCTTGATAACTGTATCCTGTGATGAGATCTGAACCTGGAGACCTAAAATAACGAACACACTAAGATAATCAGCAAATGTTTAATCGATGATAATCGTGTTATCCTGATTGATATAACTCTGGATAAACGAAGCTAAGCCTTATTATCACAACTGCACACATTAACATAACCGCAAGCATCCGCATAAATTACTACAATTGTCTCCGCGATTATCATAATTTATGCATATAATAACACGCATTATCATAATTTATGCATGTTAATACATACATTAACATAATTAATGCGATTTGCGCATTTTTCGGAAAATTATTATTTTTTCTTATTTTTATCAAAATTTCATAACCCAACACATACAACAGGGGAGAGGAGGAAGGGTGACGTGGTGACGTCATCGCATTGGGGGAGCGTACGTGGTGACATCACCACATCCATGACGTAGCAGGAGATGACTTGAACAGCTCGGACATTGTTGGAGCCTTTTGTGTTTGGCGCCATCTCTTTATTTGTTTATTAGTTTGTAGATTTAATTTGCTTGGCAGTGGCTGTGTAGAGGATTTGGTCCTCGTGTTTAATTAATTAACAGCGTTGCGGGATGCAGTGAGCACGATTGACGCTGTACACAACTGCATTGTTGTTTGTGTTCAATTTTTTTTTATGTAGAAACAACGATACAAGCTTTACAATGCCACTGTCATACGCATACATTTAAACTTTTTAAAATTAATATTATTATTGTTGTATCTCTCCCACAATCCATGACACCACCGGTGTATAAACACATCCTAGTTCACCATTGATAATCACTGCACCCCTACACTACAGTCACACTCCTCTGGCAGGGTGACTACATCCACGCTGGCTTCAAACACACAGAGCGGTACTTATTTTATCACCCCCCCCTTTGAAGGTTGTGAGGATTGTTTACGCTCAGCCCCCCCGTTGTGATGGAGAGCCACGCAGCCCCTAGCCACCGACAGCCACCAGCCAGCCAAGGGCGTGGCACTGCACGTAACGGTGACGAGGGTGGCGAGCGCCGTGCGTCGTGGCGTCTGCCCTCTGCGCTGTTCACGTTCATCTCTCTCAGGACGCACCACTCAGATCCACAATCGTTACTGACTCATCGTCATCATCCCACCACCCCAGCCACAGCCCAGGGTGTAGGGGCTGAGTGAAGGTTTGGTGAAACGAGTGCAATGGCGCCATGGAGTCGGCGCAGTAAAACGTCAGCAGCCCCGCGTCCCAGTCCAGATGGACCCCGACTCTCCGCGGAGGCTCCGGCACCGACAGTGAGGTCTCTACCCCGCCATGCCGCACTGAGAAGCTGTCGCCTTGTTTCCGTAGACACCATGAGACGTCACTCCCTCCCAGGAGGCACTCACCACCATCCCCTCTCCGTGGGATCGTCCCGTACGCGACTCCAACCCGACACCCCCACGCGCTCCCCACGTCCACCTCCCAGTGGTGCTGACCCGACGAGAACCTCTCAGAGCACAGCGCTTGGCACTGGTACTCAAAACGATGTGGGTGATGGGGGCGACGCTGCGGGACATCGCTCCACGTCACCCTTCTAAGGTCCGAGGAAATCTTGAGGTGGTCGTTGGCTGAGTTTGTGTCCAAAGTTGGTGAGCGTCCATCTGTGGTGAGGACAGCGACGACGCCCACACAAATATTAGTTAGTATTAGTGGACACATACTAATATTAGTTAGTATTAGTGTACACATACTTATATTAGTTAGTATAAGTGTACACATACTAATATTAGTTATTATTAGTGTACACATACTAATATTAGTTAGTATTAGTGTACACATTATAATATTAATATTAGTGTACACATACTAATATTAGTATTGGTGTACACATACTAATATTAGTTAATATTAGTGTACACATACTAATATTAGTATTAGTGTACACATACTAATATTAGTTAGTATTAGAGTACACATACTAATATTAGTTAGTATTATTGTACACACACTAATATTCGTTAGTATCCGTGTATATATACTATTATTAGTTAGTATTAGTGTACACATACTAATATTAGTTCGTATGAGTGTACACATACTAATATGCGTTAGTATCAGTGTACACATACTAATATTCGTTAATATTCGTGTACATATACTAATTTTCGTTAGTATTAGTGTACACATACTAATATTAGTTAGTATAAATGTATTCATACTGCTAATCACTTATGATTAATTAGTGAATAATAATAAATAACTATTAATTAATAATAAAAGTACTACACTAACATGACCATGGTTCTGTGTGCAGTGGGAGTGAACAGTAGTGATGATGCCAGCACCACGATGTTAACGCCACTCTCACAGCTGTCTCTCTACAAACACGACGCCTGTACCACAGCCACCACAGCCTCGCACACCCTCACATCCACACACACACATTGTGTGTCACAGCCTTGCACACTCTCACATCCACGCACAGACATTGTGTCACTCGCACACTCTCGCACCCACACACAGACATTGAGTGTCACAGCCTCGCACACCCACACACATACATTGTGTGTCACAGCCTCGCACACTCTCACATCCACGCACAGAAATTGTGTGTCACAGCCTCGCACACTCTCACACCCATGCACAGACATTGTGTGTCACATCCTCACACACGCTCACATCCACAGACAGATATTGTATTGTGTGTCACTCTGCTGCTGGTTCAGCGCCTCCCCGCGCCGTGCGCGTCCTGGGGGGGGAAAGTTATTTGACCATACTTCACCGCTCTCGTCGGTGCGCGTTGGCGATGGTGGGGATTGTGAACGTTGAAACGTAGAGGTGCAGTACAACAATGGTTCATGCTGCACTGCCCTCTGCTGGTGTGTGTAAACATTCGGCACGAGGGAGACAAAGGCGGCCGGGCATGGCGTTGGCCACCCACCCCCTTGTGTGCCGTGCCGGCCGTCATGGCTACTCGCTCACAGCACATGACCCATTGGTCTGTTCAGGCTGCACGGAGCAGCTTTGTCTTTTCAGGCACTGTATGTACAGTGTTTCACTCTGTGTCGCACTGCCTGCACTTCTCACTTGGCTTACTCTCGATCTGCCTGATGTCATCTCCCTCACTTGGTATGCAGGAGGTTGTGGGTTTGATCCCGACCCGGGCAATGCCTGCTGCTGCTGTATATTTTGAGTCTGTGTCTCTCTCTTTCATCATCATCACAGTGGCTAGGGAGATGTTAACAACCTCGCCAGGTATACAGGAGGCGTGGGTTCGATACTGTGACCCTGACAATGCCTGCTGCTACACATTTAGAGTCTGCGTCTCTCTCTCATTATCAGCACAGTGGCTAAGAGATGTTATCTCCCTCGCCTGCTATGAAGGAGGTCGTGGGTTCGATCCCGACCTTGACGATGCCTGCTGCTGTATATTTGGAATGTTTGTGTTTATCTCCCCGTGGTGGTCGCGTGGATTTTTCTTCGCGTCCCCCAATTTTTCGCTTCACATTTAGACTCAACTTCATGCGTTAAGATCATTTGGCTGCTACTATAAATTTCCACGTGATAATCCACTTCGTTGAGTTGTCATTTGCGGCCAGTTCCCTTGTGAAAAAGAGCCACATAGCTCAGCGGACCTTACCTGGTAAAACACAAATGTTTTAAAGATGCACGCCCCAAGGATACGCCACCTGTCTTAAACAAAGTGCAGCAGCCTACCGAGTGGTGCCGATCTGCATCGTTTTGTTTGTCATGGACGATGTTGACAGAGATCAGTGCAGAGTGCAGAGAGACACTCACACACGAGAGCCATGCGCTTCGTATACACTCCTCCTAGCGAGATGACCTCTGTGAGCTCTTGGTGACTGAATGTGGCAGGAGGCGCATCCTGGATCCCATGCGAGTCCGAGTTCCTGCACTCAGCACGGGACACACAGAGTATATGGAGGGTGCAGTACCTCCACTCATACAGCACGGGACACGCAGAGTTATTGGAGAGTGCAGTCGCTCCACTCACACAGCACGGGACACGCAGAATCTATAGAGGGTGCAGTCCCTCCACTCACACAGCACGAGACAGGCATAGTCTAATGCAGGTCCATGTCTCTCGACACACGGACAATAAGGGATGCAACTGCATACAATTGGGTTTATTAGGAATCACATCACGACCGTTTTCTGATTTGTCCACCAGGTGGCAGAAAGAGCTCGAGTTTGAGACTGGGTTGGTACTGACCTGAGACTCTCATGCAGGGGATCCTGAAAAACACAAACCCGCGTTTCACATTAACATTGACATCTTAAATAGATGCCCACCTCGACACAGTCACCTGCTGTTTGCAGTGGAGCGCGACATCAACTAATTAATAAATACTAGCAAACAGAAAATGATGAAAATTATCTGTGTGCCTTTGTACTGTTAAGCCTATTCTTAATATTTATATATTTTTTTATAATTTCTATTTAATTTTCTATCTACGTGATTTTACCGAAAGAACCATAGAATATGAATTCCTGCAGTCACAAAAACTTTATTCAAAACATAGAATACCTATTATTATTTTTTCATCAAAACAGGATTCGTTGAACTGGACACGGACCCCAACCAATGACAAAGCCACTCATTGCAGGTCTAGTCTAACAGCTAAACAAATAGTTAAGAAACGTAACGTTCAACAACTCGTGTTTTGAACTATGAATAAACTAATTTTTTGTATTTTACCAGGAAAGGGCCACTTGGCCATGTCACTCTTGTTCAGTAGCGAGCTGCCTATCAGAAATGATGTCTCAACGAGCTGGCTTATGTGGACATTTATAAAAGCAGCCAAATAATCTGAATGCATGATGTTGATTCTAAATGTGGAGTGAAAAACCAGAGGACCTGGAAAAAAATCTACGCATTCACAGAGAGAGAGAGAGACGTAGACTCCAAATTTACAGCAGGCATCGTCAGGGTCGGAGTCAAACCCACACGACCTCCTGCATACCAGGCGAGGTAAATGGCGATGTTGTACAAGTCCCGGTCTGAATGTCACACGGAAGCAAACGCGTGACTATTTTTGGACACTGCCGCTTTCTCCCAGATCGAAAAAAACTGAAATAAGATTTCAAACAATGTCAACGTCTCACAGGGTGGTGTGCCTCTGCTGGTTGTAGATACACCTTCTGATAAACCAAGGCTGTGAGTATAAACTATTATAAACTACTATTTAATACCTTACCAGGTAAGGCCCACTGAGCTATATAGCTCTGCTTCAGAAGTAACCTTGACAGAAATTAAAATTAAAGAAGTGGCTTATCGTGTGGAAATTTATAACAGAAAATTACAATGAACACGTGATGTGATTATAAATGTGGAGGGAAAAACCGGAGGACCACACATCCACAATGAGAGAGAGAGGTACAAACTCCAAATATACAGCAGACGTCAGGCGAGGTAGTTAACATCTCCTCGCCACCGCGCCGAGTTAATGGAGGTGGTGCCACCTGCAGGAAGGAGAGTGGGTCCTGCACGGCGAGGGCGGCGAGCAGCTGGTTGATCTCCTGCTCCAGGCCGCGTGCTCTGCTCTCGTAGCGTGCGATGTCCACCTGGATGCGGGACAGCACGGAGTTGCCCTCCTCGTCCACGTGCTCCAGCGCCTCCCTCTCCTCCACCCTCAGCTGCTCCCTCCGGCGCTCAAACTCTCGGCTGATCCGCGCCTTGGTCCCACGCACAGACACCTACACAGACAATTCCGAGTTGTTGAGTCACTTGTTAGGTAACGACACAATGTGCTGTCGTACAGGTAATTATTGTTACCATGCCTCGATTATGTACATGGAGGTGAGTGACATGTGCATTGGGATCTCGTGAACATATAAAGCACAGGGAGGATGAGAATGGGATACAAGGGGAAAATATCCTCGGCAAGGAGATTACAGAAAATACGTCTGTCTGTAGCTACACGTTGCTGAGTGTCTATCTGGTGAAAATGAAAAACATCTTCATGGATATCATTCGCATCTGTCTGTCCATCACACTCTGGATCTACTAAACGGTGCATGGGAAGAAAATGCGAATTAAACTGAAACAATTCTCTTGCCGAGGACATTCCCAGAAAAATGTGTCAAAGTTTCTGCGAATATACAGAACAAATACAAGTCACATTGCTCTTGTTTTAATTTGAAATGTGATGAAAAAGTCAAACAATGCTGATTTCTATAGCAATACTCACGTACACTCTTCCTTACACTCAGTCTAAGTTGGTCCGATTCAGATTTAGAGGAGCCAGAGAGGAGGAATTGCAAAATTCCATAGCAAGCAACGTGGTTGTGATCAATAAAGGAATCGACAGGGCAAGTCGCCAATGCATCGTCCAGCGTGGATCGATTTTGCCCCCCTATACCAAAACTGATGTCATGTTGGAAGTTTCGTCATGAATGAAGTTTCTGTGTCATACCGTGGTGGCCTTCAATTCACGTAGTAAACGTGTTTTGGACATCTGGCCGTCCTAAACTGGTTGTAATGTTTCCCACATTTTTTTTCCTGATGTATAAAATACACGAAAGCAATATATTTAATTGAAGAATAAAGTTTCATGAAGCTTATGCGCTCAAATAATGGGCTTTAAAAAAAGTGTTGACAGACAAACACAGTTACGAATTCACACTTTCCTCTGTTACAGTTTGATGTCGTTGATTTGGTAGATTGAAAGTAGTCAGTAAGCGAGTTGTCATTGGGATACGATTCGCTTGAAATCCACACCGCTTGCAATTTACCAAAGTTGAATCCCACGCAGATGCGTGGGGCAGTGCTCGTCAATAATAAGAGTTACTTCAGCAGTTTTTTCTTGCTATGGTTGTCCCACCTGATGACGATTGCTTGTTTTGCGATCGAAACGTCGTGATCGATTATTTTTTCTACCTATGTGACTTTACCGAAAGAACCAAAGAGTTTAATAAGAGTTAGGTTTAATTAAATAAGATTATTAGGCAAACCAGAAGAGGGAATTGTGCGGCGGCCATCTCTCTCTGTACCTCCACGCGCCGGTAGTCCTCCCTGAGTGTCCGTGTAAGTGACGCCGCCGTGTTCCTCTTCTCCTCTTTCTCATCCTTCTTGACTCTGAGCTCCTCCTGCATGTGGTAGATAAATTAATAATATACGCAGTGCTCGCTATTGCCATTGGTGGATCACTGATTGATCATCCCGCATCTCAGATTAGCACGATTGGCTATGAAAGAAGTTCAACTCACATACGCACATCTGTTGTCATATTTCTGCATACGTCTCTATTTATATTTTTACTTTTCCCACGATTGTATCCCGAATGTACTGTCCGTGTTATGCATTGAGATGAAGATTCCAATCGTTACTACTGCAGAGCAATGCAATATCATGTTAGATAGCATTATTGACAAATATCACGTACATTCTAAAATATGTTTTTAACCTCTTCCAGCGATGGGTGTAGTTGCTTATCACATGCCTTACTATACATAGCAACGTTTCTCACTTAGTCAAACTAATATTTTGAATTCTCACGTGCTGTCAAATGTTTACTCGGCTTAGACCATCAACTCACTAAACTTGAGAATCCGGTTTAAACCATGCGCAGCCGACTAGATTCCAACTCAGAATAACAGCGTAACCATCTCAACGTTCTGAAATCAGAGCCACCCAGCCACCTCTACCTGGGTCTCCCTGTAAAGGGCGTTTGGTCTTAACAGGAGCTCACCTGGTTGAGGTGAGGGGTCACGACCTACTGATGTGAATCTCTCAACCTCCTGCAACAATGGGGATTACAACGGAACATGACACTTCACCTGTCTTGTCTGTTGTGCTTTTTCCACTGTGATGAACCTGTGCCCAGAGTGGTCTCCTGCGACGTGGCAGACTGGGCAGACCGGGCTCTCATCTTGTTCACAGTAAAGAATGAGCTCCTGTATGTGCTCCCGACACATTCGCTGTTCCAGGTTCGCAATGGGAGCCACCAGGAGGTGTTCTCTCAACCTGGGATTCTCCAAGTGAGGCCTCAAGTGCGTTGCACAGTACGAAGTCTCGCATGTCACGCAGGTCTTCACTGCAGGAGTCTGGCCGTCCCTGCAGTTGTCACACACGACGGCCGTGGCCTTCCCGTCTCCAACTCTGAGCTGCTCTGCCAGGTTGCTGAGGGCAACGTTCCTCCTCAGCTGGGGTCGCACAGGGAAGGTCACTCGGCACTGCGGGCATCTGAAGCTGCTCGCCGTCTCCCAGGCTGCCTCCAGGCACCGGAGGCAGAAAGAGTGTCCGCAGCTCAGCGAGGCGGGGCAGACGAACGTGCCCAGGCAGATGGAGCAGCACAGCTCACTATCCACACTCTCACTGGGAGTCTTGCTTGCCATGATCTATGGCTTCTCTCTGATGGCTCAGAGAGACGCTGGAACAGGACCTCTCTCTTATAGCGAAGGTGAAGAAGGAAGTAAAATACTAAATAATATTTTTATTGTCATCACTTACATCACGAGACACTCCCTGGAATGTGAACCCGTGCCCCTATGTGTGCAAACAGCAGCCTCAGGGTGACCAAGTCTACTGTATACACCTTGACACTTAAAGAAATGCGTGCTGTTGTAAATATAAAGCTGCGTGGGTCATTTGTGGGATGAGTAAAGAGAGATGAACTCATTCTTCCACAGCTTAGGATGCGTTGTCTGTACCACTGGCTCTGCACTGCAAACCCATAAGATACTTGAGTTTGATTCCCACTCACGTCCATCGCCACCACTATTGGTAACGATGATCTGAATCTGTCCTGGTCCTCATCCCCTAGGTCAACTCAGCCTCAAATGTATACTTTGTGCGATGTGTCATAAACATTGCTACTGGGAACACAGAGGCGGCCAGGCGTGGTGCTGGCCACCTGCCCCATGGTGAGCTGTTCCAACCTTCATAGGTGCTCGTTAACAACACTTGCCCCTACAGTCTGATGAGGGTATATCGAGTATCTTTGTCTTGTAGTGATGTATATGCATTTGTGTGTCTCTAGAATGTTTGTGAGTCTGTCCGTAGTACTGTTTATTGCTTCTGCGTGTGTATAATCTGTGAGTGTGCCTGTGAGTAGTCCTGTACAATATATACTTCTGTTTGTCTCCAGTCAGTGTGAGTCTCTGTAAATAGTACTGCACATGCTTCTGTGTATCTCCAGACTGCGTCTCTGTGTGTAGTACTTTGCATGCTTCTGTGTGTCTCTAATACTGTGCCTCCCATGAAATACATCTCGAGGTAGCAGAACAAACAAAGAGTTGATATGTTTGCAGAGTAAGACAGTGATAAGCTATGCTATACGATGTTTAACACAATCGTTTTTAAAGTGTGCAAAAACAAAGTAAATTAACAAACAACAACTGTTTGAAACGACAGTTTGTATGGCGACATCATTTGAGTTATTCATACGCAATCTGAAAATAACGTCTTCAATTCAGTCTTCAATTTATTATTCGTAGGTGTACTATTGATATGTGGGGCCGTCCATAGCGGACGTCACGCACCTAGGGGAGGGGTCAGACATTTGTGACGATGTGTGACGAGGGGGGGGGGTTGAGAAATGAGACGTCACATCAAAATGCGCAACTTTAAATAAATATAGACAACAAGTTCTACTTAATTAAATAGACTTTTTTTATAAATGTTTCCTACTACAACATCAGAGTGCAGCACCACATTAAATACGCACTACAATGACAATAGTTTAAAGCGATTTGAAGCATGTTTTTTTTGGGGGGGGCAGAGCTTTGTGGCGTCATATTTAAGGGGGGGTCTGACTTTTTGTGACGTCGTGTGACGAAGGGGGGGGGGGGGGGTAAAAAATCGTCCAAAATCGCGTGATGTCATTTATGGACGTCCCCTGTATGGGTTAGTTGTTGCACAAGTTGGTACCCATGCAAGTTGTTAACGGTAGATAAAGGGTCCCGTGGACGTTATACCGGAGTAGGACTCTGAACCTGACCTGCACTAAACACGTGGCCTGGATGTATTTAGTCAGCTTATTAACTGGCATAAGTGTGGCCACTGTGCGTGAAATCGAAATAAAACTTTCCTAGAAAAGTTCACCAATGCGAGCCAAGACGATCTCATAACGCCCACGCCTCATCCAACATCTCCACTACTCGGCAAGATTGCCACGTTTGCAAAAATAAAATTGGCACGTGGTCAATGAAATTATCAAACATTTGACCAATCATGTTGTTTTCATTCTACTTTTTAATAGTGTATTTGTAATTTTGTTTGTATCTTTACTGTGATTAAAAAAATGTATTGTTGGTTTTAATGTTCGGTAAGAAACATTTAGTGTTTGCTGATCTCCAGTTGCCATGGTGAAAAGTGGGCTAGGTATTGCCCAATCCTGACCAACTGGCTGAACAAACTTAAAAAGCTAACAAACATAATAGAGGTACATATAGAGAGAAACATAGAGATGTATGTAGATACATAGATTTTTTAGAGGTATATAGATACTCATAGAGATACATAGAGAGTAATCTAGATACATAGAGAGAGACACATTAAGACTCATAGAGATACACTAGCGGTAAGTACCCGGCGTTGCTCGGGCAAAAAAGGCAGACACACACACGAACTTACACACAGACATTGACCCACACACATAGAAACACATCGACCTAGACGCACACACATATATATATGGTTAAACCCAGGATGGATCGTTAGCAGGCCAGCCTAAATATTTGTAACCAGCGAAGATGTTCCATTAGGGGGGTGCACGCTTCGCAAGCGTAGAGAAGGGAGGGAATTACCGTGGCCGAGAAGACCTGGAGCTTCATGTGCAGCCAGAGACCATGTAGCTTCCACACAGCGTAACGCAGCCGATGAAAAGAGAATGGCGCTCGACTGATTTGGAGTAAGACCTCTGCTGTTAAACCGGAGCCGGTCATGAGCACACTGGCCAGGTATGGGAATCTCTCCGATCTCTCCACAACTGCCGCATCACCAATTGTGAGTTGTGGGAGTGGATTGTCCGATGGTACAAAATACCCAGGCAGGTGCTTAGTTTTGGTGGGGCTGATGGTAAGGCCCCAACTCTTAGTGGCAAACTCCAGATTCAGCAGCAGTGAGCAGCAATCACCAGAGCATCGGCATACATAACATGGTTGAGCAATAGGTAGCCATCCCTTGACCGCACCCGGGCATCGATCAGCCTCCCATTGTATCTGTACCATATGGTAATTCCTCCGGTACAGCCATTGAAGGCTTCACTAACTACATGGTCAAAAGATATGTTAAATAATGTGGGAGCCAGAGGACATCCCTGTCACACCCCAAGGTGTGATGATCATGAGCAGCTGGTCAGGGACTCCGAAAGCATGAAGAACAACCCAGAGGCCTGGCCTACTGATGGTATCATAGGCCTTGAGCAGGTCAATAAAGCACACACATTCACTCACACGCACACAATGACCAACAGACACGCAAATAAATGGACTTATACTGACTCACATGGAGCCACGCACACAAAGCGACTAACACACATGCCCATGGACTGACACACACGGACATATCGACTCACACACACAAACACATGGACTTACACACACATACATACACTGACCCACACATTGCCCTACACACACATACACATATGGACTGTGACACACAGACATCTACTTTAGATACACATGGATTAACACGCACATATCGACTCACACACGCATTCACTTAGACACACACATCGAGTGAAACACACACGTATGGACTTACACACACATGTGGACTAACACACACACAGCGGCTGATATGCACACAAATGGACTAACACACACACACACAAACACTTGTACGTATGTAATGCAAGCGTAAGCGAGGTTTCGCCGCTCAGCTCTGGGCCAATCAGACGGCCCGGAGTATTGGGGGCGGAGCCCAGTAAGGTGGGCGTATGGGGAGGTCCGCCGCCCACCTCCGGCCCAATCGGATGCCCGGATGATCAGGGGCGGAGCCGAGGGGCGGAGCCGGGAGGGGCGCTAAGTGAAGGGCGTGATCTGGAAGGTTCGGAAAGGGCATGGTGGAAGGTGGAGACAGGATGACGAGAGAGGAGAATATAAGGGGGATCTGGAAGAGGCTCGTGGCAGTTGGCATAGACTCGAAGTGGGACCACATCGAGCCGTGGAAGGTCTCCAGCGCCATCGGCCACATGGCTGGAGACGGCTCCAAGCACACCATCAGCCAACGGTGTGCAGGAGTGCAACTGATGGAAAGAGCACGCGGGGCGCACCAGTGGAACAGCCGGTCCACGGTCAGGACCGGCGGAGTGTGAGTGGCATAACAAGAATAAAGACAGAGGCGGAGACCAAGCTGTGTGTCGTCATAGTCCTTTATTACACGTACACACACACACACATGGGGCGTTGTCCATTTGAAAAAGACAGACACACACATGGACTTACACACAGACATGGACCCACACACATAGAAACCCATTGACTTACCCGCACACAAACACATATGGAGTCACACACACAGACATCGACTTTAGGCACACGCATGTAGTTTCTGCACACGAAGATTATAATATTAGGCAACTTATTAGTTTCATAATAATAAAGAATGAAGCAGAGTTGTCATTGTAATATTCGTAAACTTATTTGTTTAATAATAGTAAACAATAAACCTCAGTTCTTAGCGAAAGATGCAATAAAATTGTATTTTACATTGGTGTGGTGACGCCTCATCCCAAGCAGAGCCCGCGGCCTCACCTAGATTGGCAAGCTGGAGGAGGTGAGACATTGCCAGGCTGCAGGCTGGGCCGCTACCCCCCTCCCCACCATCCCCATGCCCGAGGCAGAATAATACTATGTAAGCGCTGTAATAATATAAAATTAATATCTAAGGACTTTATAGCAGTGAGCTGGAGCCAACGCGCATCACTTGGCAGGGTCCGCCCCCCCCCCCCCCCCCCCAGGCAATTGTCGTGAGTTGGTACGGTCGATGTCGCGCAATGAGTAAATAATTAAAATAAGAATGCCACTAATTCGTTAATTAAACGACTTGTACGGACGTGAAAACGGAATAGCCTATTACCACCACGGGGCTTAGGGCGTGCCAGCTGGCAAATGATTTCGGTCTTAAGGCCCACCGTCCGAGAGCCAAATCCCCCGCAAGCGCGAGCGCGCGGAGACTTTTATATATAACTAGCGGTAAATACCCGGCGTTGCTCGGGCGAAAAAGACAAACACACACGTGGACTTACACACAGACGTTGACTCACACATAGAAACACATCGACTTCGACGCACACACACACATTTGGTGAAACCCAGGATGGATCGTTAGCAGGCCAGCCTAAATGTTTCTAACCTGCGAAGATGTTCCATTAGGGGGGTGCACGCTTCGCAAGCGTAGAGAAGGGAGGGAATTACCGTGGCCGAGAAGA